TTAGAAATAATATTAATTATTATGATTAAAAATAATTATAATAATTAATTAATTATTATTAGAAATAATTCATTTCAAGTTGCTTTTTTAAAAACTTAACTTTTTTAGTTTTATTCTAAAATGTATATCATCATAAAATCCACTTAGGAGTTTAGTGCCGAAAATTTGTCATATAGAGGAAAATCTGTGTTCCAATATTACAACTGTAAGATTCTTTATGACCTTATATTAGTTAACTGTTCATCTGCTTCACCGATTTATTTAAACTGCTGTTGATTCCTTATTTATCTTCTAGTAATCTATTTCTCTCTATACTCTAATTAAAATTATTATTAATAATAGATAATAGTTCTTTTATCTATAGCATTGCGTATATATATATTAATTAATTAATTAGATAATAATAGATAATTATACTTTTATCTATAGAGTTATATCTTAATTAATAATAAATTAATATGTATAATATAAATAGCAATAGAAATAAACCGGCATATGCCCATGGTATACTGATTTTTTTTTAAAAAAGGATAACCACACAACAACAAAATATATTCTAAGCCAGGTTTCATTTCTTTAATCGTCAATTTCTTGTTATAAAATGCAGTACACTTACCTCATCAGGTAAACATTATGCTATCTGCCACCTGGGAATAGTTCCTTTATGGTTACAGACTTAATTTAAATCATAATAAAAACAATAAAGAAAGAAAGTATTGATAGATAATACAAGCAAACCAAATATACATATTTACGTATCAAACAAATACTTTCTCTAAAATCGTAAGGCTATTAACTTCTCTAGAACCCTTAGGAAGTTAATTGTCTTGAATAGCTGAGAAAAGTGTTGCAAAAAACTAAAATTCAAATATATCCACCAAGTGGAAATTAAATTCATAATCCACTTGAAAAGTTATGGAAATTGTAATATTAAAATATATCAGATGTAACTAATGACATTATGCAGGATATTTTCGTTTCTAATATGCACGTCTCCATAAACTAGAATCAAAAGTCATAGATCGAAGTACTAATGGAATGATAAAATAGGTGCACTACTTTTACAATATTCGACACAGACTCTTCTACGGCTAAGAATCATAAGTAAAATTAATTTATATTACAAATACTGGAAGAACAGACCCATATACTTTAAGTTAGGAGAGACTACTGGTTTTTTGAAGACATTCAAATTATTTCCCTATTTCGGTTTTTACTCATATATAAATATTTTTCATGTTTTTTTATTTTTTTTTTATATATTTATACTTTTTATAATTAAAATAGTTTGGTAGTTTTCCCTTCTGCAAGTAGATATTTGACTTGAAAATCTGACTACCTCAGTAGTAGAGAGTCCATAAATTTTTCCTAAAGTTCCATACTCTAACTAAAGTTAGAAAAAAAGTTCAATATGAGTGCTTGCATCATATAAAATTTTTTATAAAATTGCATTAACTTCTAAACGTTATTTCTAAAAAACTATTTTCATTAAATAAACCGGATCTTCACTAATACAAAAGCATAAAAATAAAAAATGTAATAACCAAATACTTCATATCTACTTTCAAAAATTTAAGAGTAAAAATAATTATTTTTTAATATTAACAAAAAATTTCCTTTCTCTTATAAATACAAAGCTTTCCTATAAAACGGCTAACAATTTCCGGTGTTCCATTATTGCATTGTACTCAGTTTACTATAAAACTCTCTCAAACTCCAATCGGAAATTTGTAAGAAAAAACTTAAAAATGCTCCACATTTCAAAGAAATTCGTCAAATAAATTTGTTTGGGTTTGAATTTTCTTTCATTTCTCTCACGTGAGAATGAAACAAACATGAACCTACCTTAACATGCCGGCCGGTATATGGAAATCAGTGAAACACCAGGCAACGAAATATGAAAACACAGGTCGGCTGCAATTATTTTGGCGAAGTGATAACAAAAAAAAAACAAAAACACAATGTAAACAATAACAAAAAGAAAATATGGCACATGTGTTGTTTTTGTTGCATTTTTGTTTTGTTTTTGTTTTGTTTTTGTTTTAAAGTTTGTTTAAGTTTTCATTCAACTGTATGTTATAGGTAAGAGTTTGTTCGCTTTTGGTTCTAATATTGGATTTTATGGTGAGAGTGCGAAGATAATAATTTTAATTGAAAAATATTAGTTGTTAATTTTTTTAAACAAATTAATTTAATTTTTTTTTAATAGTATGTTATTTAATCGAAAACAAACACAATTAACAAACATGTTATAAAAAAACATATAAATTCAAAAAAAAATGTTATTTACTATAGAAGTTAGTGGAGGTAGAGGTAAAAGTAAAGGTAAAGGTATAGATCTTTTTCTCACGAAAACAGACAAATTTGAAGTATGTGAAGATTTGCCAATACTATTTAGCCCTAATACTAAGTTTAATGGAGTCAGGTAGTTAGTATTAAGTCAACATTCGTTGCAAGAAAACGTGATTTTTTAAGCTTAAACAAATATATAAACCCCAGATATTCACATTGCTTTTCTTCCCAATATGCGACAAAAAAAGTACCTTCTTTTCCAATATTTAATTGTAATACAAGAACTTCTGACAGATATGCAAAAATGTGTTTAATAAAATCAGAACTATATTGCCCACAGCACTTTATACTATTTTGAATATTCCTGGAGTATACTTCCTTTGACACTGATTTAGGGCTGTTGCAAAATCAACTTAAACAATAGTTAGAAACTATACAATGAACACTACTTTAAAGTACATCCCGGTTTGGCGTTCACTCACAGCATTTTCGATTACTGTTACCAGATATGTGAGTACCAACACCAACTAGTAAAGAGCAACTGCATATACTTTGATATTACTATTTCATAAACATATAGATTAAAAATAAGGTGTTAAATTCAGGAAAACTGGAAATTCACATATTGGACTAAATATATTTAGTCCAGATATAAATAAAAATAAAATGAAATAAAAGGAAAGGAAATAAAAGGAAAAGCAGATTTAAACTCAGACCACTCACCAGTTTATCTCACATTGCTTGAATCTGTGGCCTCCACGCACAGCACTCTCCATATCTGACAAATAAACTAACAGATTGGAATTATTTTCGAAAGTGCTTAGATGAAAAACTAAATATATCCACAGAAATTGCAACTACTCAGCAGCTGGATGAGAAAGTCAACTTTATTATAAGTAATTTTAACTGCAGTTACTCAAGTTACTCTTGTTTTCTCATATATAATTTAGCTACAAAGGATATACTTCAATAAAACTGTGCTATAACTTTTCTGAGTTATTTGAGAACAGACATAATCTCGTTCTAGAAAATCTCAGATTCAGTTATACAAGACTCATTTTCATATGTTAAACAAAATATTTTCCTTGAATTTGCCTCTCGAAGACTTAAGTATAATTATGTGTGGAAGCTATCCACTAATCTGTATTCAAAGTCTTCTCTGAATGTGTTATCAGGAAAATATTTCGTCCAATATGTAAAAACGGTACATAATATATTCGATATAATGACAAAATTGATCAGATATATGACGAAGCAGATATCGTAAAGGTCATTAAAATCTCTCCATAAAAAAAAGCAGGACATATAATCATAGCCGACTTAACAAAATATTTAAACGCCAAGAAACGTAACGACCAAACTGAATGGACCTTATGTCAGATGATGAAGGCAGAGTTACAGTGATGCAGGTGAGGCATAACGCGGACTCTTGTTACCATTGATATTGAATGAACTAATTAAAGCAAACAAAACTAATTATGTTGCAATGTCAATGTTTTATTTAGATAAGACATTTATTTTCTGTTAAATAATATTACTCTTAATAAGCATGGAACAACCCAATAGCGGAAAGTCATGAGAAATTTGAAAAAAGCTGCCACATAGCCAATCATTTCTGATGAACATTGTCACGGTGGACAATGTTGCAAAGGAATACATCTAAATTAAAAAAAAGACTGAACAATGTTTATTAAATAAAATAATTATTTTGTAATTGATTTTGAACATATAACTTTATATGAAATGTTAAGGAAGAGAGGACAATTGTTATGCTGCACTGGAGGATTTCGAGAGAAAAGTTCTTGATAAGGTATTTTGTTTTTCTCGAACTAACAACAACTATTCAAACATATCCAAATGAGCTATAAGCTATACGACCTTTATTACGATGTTGACGTAATTCAGGGTAGTAACATCCATCACCAGCTAGAAATTGCACAAAGCCAGGCTCTGAGAAGACTTTTCAAAGTTCCATGGTACATTAGGATGAATGACATCCTCAGGGACCTCAAGATTGACATCCTCAAGGATAGAGCCCTGAAATTATTTGCGAAATCTGACAGACTTACCAACACCGCGTTATCAAATCTCAGAATGGTTACAGGCTGCTCGGGAAGGTATGCAGATCTGAGGTCAATTATTGCTTAGTCTGATCAAGTGATAAACAATAATCTAGTCAAGGCGCAAAGAGGGGTTCTGAAGAAACCTCGCAGTTAATAGAGAGTAAAAGTGCTCAGGTGCACTGACTCAACTAGCCTCAACATAATAATAACATCCAATGGTGGTGCTGGCTTTGAATTGTCGTCGGAATGGTTGCGATGCTCCTGTGAAAAAAGCTTTTTGAAGCGGGTATTAGGAAAAAAACGCGTAGTGGTTGACCATACCACAGTAACCGTAATTTATATACGAAACTGGAAAAGGTACGCATGCCACAGAGGCGCCTGAAAAGAGTACTGGGTCAGACCGAAATTTAATAACGGGCGCTCATATCATTTAAGTAAGTAAGTTATATATATTATAAAAAGCACTATTCCATCTAGACATACTATTTCAAAGACAAAATAACTAATCAGAAAATATTATTCATTTTTATTTTTAATTATTTTAATGAATTAAATTTTGGAACGAAACAAACCATGCCTTTTTATTCAATATCAATAAAATATGAAGTAATTTTCTAAAAACAAAAAAAAAAATTTAATTGCTATAACCACTATGTGAAACTAAATTAAATTTGGTAAAAATACGGAGAGACTCTTCCGCAGTATAAGGAGGGGATCTTTATAAATAATGGAAGAATCTAGCATTAAAAGTGCAAACAGTAAGAGCAGCAATAAGCCCTCAGCTAATCGCAGCAGCGCAACAAGTCAAAAAGGAGATGGACTTCAGTATGCAGGTACTGGTACTGCCATCACACTTGGACTAACACAAACTTGCGCCAGCAATGACTATGTAGTGAGACTGGAGAAGGACTTCAATTTATTGCAGGAGGCATTTCTAGAGCTTTGCACTCAACTGATACGCATACAAATCAGAGTTCGTCAGATTACAAGTGCTCGACCAACTGAATTGCGTTCGCTATTAGAAGATTTGGAAAAAGCGGCATTTCAATCTGCTAAAGAAATGAATGGTGATGATGAATTACCGAATCTTATGTCTGACGCTGTAACCTTGGGTTCTATACAAGAAAAGCAACACCGATTTATTGAGGAATTACACAATAAATTTAGTATAGATGAATATAATTGTCTTCAAATGGAAAAATACAATCCCAATGACCCCAGAGGAAGTAAGGAAAGTAAACATAGTAATAATGACGATGGTGGTACTAGTGAAAAAAGTGGAAGCAATGGAAGCATGGAAAAAAAGCGATCAAGATCAAGAAACTAAAAGAAGCAGTCGTAAGCCCAATACGTGAAGATGCAGATCCCATTAATTCGTGATCACCTGTTAATAGTTACCAAAAACAATATGATGTAAAGGACCCTCCGAATATACTCAACGAATTTTCAATAAATGCAGTGAAGATTTATGCATATTCGTACGAAGTGCATAGTAACCCCGTATTTTTACCTGATAAAGTAAACAGAAATTCTGTAATAAAGAATATTGTTTAATATTTAAGGTAAGTGAGAGTCACTTCAACCAAAACCAAACGATTAACTTTGTACGATACATATTTCATTGCATCGAAATATATATCAATTTTGACATATACGTTTAAATAACAAAATCTTAAATCTTCTATATTTATTTAATTTCTATGGGTTTTTTTTTTTGGAAAATGCATCGAAAACTACATCGTAAAACTTTTTAAAATTAACTGAATTATCATAGGCTCATAACACCTGTAATGCAGAATGAAAGTGAGAAAGATGCACAAAGTCAAAAATCAGCTCCGTCTGGAGAAAAGACACCATCTCAAAAACAGAGTTCAAGTTCGATAGGGAAAAAAACACCATCCCAACAACAAAGTTCAAGTTCGATTGGGAAAAAGACACCATCACCTAAACAACAAAGTTCAAGTTCGATTGGTAAAAAAACACCATCCCAACAACAAAGTTCAAGTTCAATTGGAAAAAAAACATCATTCCAGCAAGAAAGTTTCAATTCGGTAGGAGAAAGAACTTTAGCCCAACAACAACAATATACAAAGCAATTAGAAGAGCAACTTTATAATATGCAACAATCACATATTGCACTTATAGTTCAATATAATCGGGTCCTCTGCAGAGTGCGACAAATTGTTAATGCCACTCCATTGGAACGTTGCAAACTGGTTGATGATTTGAAATCAATAGCGTTTTCGGTTAAGTCAAATACATCAATTACTGATGAAATCCCCAGCATTCGCAGTGAAGCATGTTCCTTTGGTACTATAAATCGTAAGTGTGATATGATGTTTGCAACACTCCGTTCTTTAGTAGGTGAATTTAACGATGCCTACACTAGGCATGCTGCCTGCTTTGGGTTTGAGTTTGAGGAGGGTGAGGAAGGTGAAGAGTGCGAGGAGGAAGGTGATTATTTAAATTCAGACTCCCAAACAGTTATTGTATCAAAGGAACAAAGTAATCAGTCTAAGAACTCAAAGTTACAGAACGATTTGTCACAGGAACCAGAATCGAATTTATCAAAAACAGCAAGCAAAGCGAGCAAAAACTCAAAGGTATTAAAAGAAATGAGCTATAATGATAGTGCGTCTGCATCTAAACAATCAAAACACTCAAACGAGGAGAGTCTATCCAAAAACAGGACGAGCTCTAATAGTAACCACTCAAGACTTTCAAAGTCCACGAGTAAGGGTTCAAAAAAATGAGATCAAATAGTAGTCCGCAAATATTAATAGGTTAATGAATTACGTATAACACCAATTTATATATATATACATATGTGTTTATATACAATTATTTATGCACAAATGAATGTGACACATTTGTGATAATAATATAGTCAAGTTTACTTTTGTTAAATAAAATTGCACAGAAAAAGTTAAGGAAAATTGTATAATGACAGTAGCAATGAAAATTCAAAATTCAAAAATCAATATTCAAATAAAATTTTCAGTGTTCACAAACTATTTTTAAATTACTAAATGTTGATTAATAATTACTATATCTTCTGCAAGCAGTTGGGGAGATAGGCGGTATAGACCCTAACTTTCTTTATACAAGTATATTTATTATAAAAAAAATATAAACAGTATAAATTTCTGATATAATTAGGTTCGACACTCCAAACCTCTGATGGAGTTCAAAAACCAGTTCAGCTCATCTCCGCAACAACAGTTGCGACAGAATTTACATGGTTCGGTTTGGAACGGGTTTACAAGTATACTCATATATATTATTACTAAGTGCACGTCGTATATATTTCCATAAACGGTGAATGTTTGTTTGTTGATCCTGCAAATTTAATATAATTTATTAGTCCAAGCTACATATGTAGGACCATTTTTGATTAACATAGTCAATTTATTATTATTTAAAAGGAATTCTTTATAATTATCAAACATTCTTCCGTCAGTATACTTCATTAGCTCATATTTCTAAAATCATATCTATACTCCAGGCACTACTTCAGTAAATATTATAATGAGATTACACAGCTTCATAGCACTGAACTTAGAGTACCTCAAAGAAGCATTATGGGGCCAATTATTTAACTCTTGTATATAGCAGATCTTCCTACCACTAAAAGAAGTAATGAGCATATTGCGAAATATTGATAGTAGTTTAGAGTACCACCTATCGGTAGTTATTGACTACATCGTAGTTGTGGCTCTGCTAATGAGAAGAACACTGTACTTTACCGCTTGTGTCAGTGTCTATCATTGGTTAGAAGAAGATTCGAAATTTTTAAGGTTCATTCGTTCACCTACTTAACTTGTTTATAAGTTTATAGACTTGTCAAATAGGTTTACTTTTACTTGAATAGTGTAGTCGTATGTTTTATTGTTCTTCTCGTACGCTGATCCTTGCGGTCCTTTCGGCAATTGTTTTGGCTTACATGTGAGAAACGCTTATCCGTAGTATCACAATAAGCCATTCTTTTAATTTAAGTGGGCTTTGTAATCCGGGGCAAATCTGCAACGAAACCTAACCTAAGCTATGAACAATAGCTTAGGTGGACTGTAAAACCTAACGAAACCTAACCTAAGCTATAAACTATAGCTATGCTGGACTGTGACAAATACAAATCTAGTAATAATATAACACTTATAATCAAAAAAATTATGCTTAAATAATAATGCGCCCGATTAGTTTATACCGTTACATATAAATATACACAGATATGTCGCTAAACATAGTCTATTTCCGCTTTTGTATAGATTTTATATACCTTATCCAAAATAATTACTTATTGTCAAATTAAATTAAAGTGTAGTAATAAATAAAATTGAAAAAAAAAAATTTATATAAATTTTAAAGTTTTCTTAAAAGTTTTAAAATATTTATAATTTTTAATTATAATATGAATGTTATTCATATTAAGAATGATTATATACTTGTTTAAGGAAGATAGAAAACAGAAGAATGAGATTTTTGGAATATACTAACATCAGCTTTTCTTAAGAATATGGTGACCCAACCGCATTACAAATGGGCCGTCATAAATCAATCACTAGCTACTTTTGAGATATGTAGATGCATATAGGACATCTACATATAGGACGTAATCTGTACTATATGTATAGTACAGTATAGGACATAATCTCTGTATAGGACATAATCTCATTAGACCCAATAAAAAAATTGCATGCTAAACTCTGAGTCGGAATCGTTAAGGCAGCCGTCGGCCTGGAACGCCAACTAGAACTTGGAGGAGGACAATTAAGGATGAGCTAAGAGAAGCCAATAATTCCTGAAACATCTACCGAGAATCGAGTAGTAGAATCCGATATAAAAGGATGGTGAAGTCCCTATACTCCACTGAGATATGCGGAGAAGAGAGAAAGAGAGAGAAGTTTTCTTCTGAATTAATAGTAAATAATAAGAAAAAAATTAAATTTTATTAATAAAGTTGTATTAAATACAAATGTAAAAATAATTGGATCAATTTTATGATAAGACCTGTGTCTTAAGGTGATATAAGTATAGTATATTAAGTGCATAAATGATTGACTATATTATACTTTCAACTCTACTTTTGCAAGAAATGAAATTAAACTATTATTTCCAGAAGGTATTTCAGTTGAAAATAAATACTACCTATAATATTATAGTATGTTTTATATGAACATGAATATATATAAACTATTATATCACATAAACAGTAATTGTATAAATTTTTTTTCTATCTCTTATTTAATTTTTTGTTTTTTTTTATCTTTTTTATTTAATTTTTTTTTCTATCTTTTTTATTTTATTTTTTTTTTTTGTATTTTTTATTTAATTTTGTTTTTATTTTTTTTATTTTTTCTTTATATTTTTTTATTTAAGAACACGTTTTTTTGACTCGTATGAAATTGTAAGTTATTTTTTTAGCAATATAACAGTCATAATAAAAATAATTAAATTCAACTTTTAGCATTTTTAAATGATTTTTAATCATAAGTTTCTATTCTTCTTCTCTATTCATCCTTTTTACCAAAAATTTTTTAAATCTAGAAACATTAAAACAAAAAAAATAATAACAACGGCAAAAAACATATCCCTCTTCACTCATGCCTCACATCTTGCAATTGGAAGAACTTTTCGCTGCTGTTAAAGTCGTTGACCCTCAATTCAGCTGCCAAAAAAATGGAACAACAACAGAAAAAACTGCAAACAATAGAACAACAGTCAACCCTTGGTCTACTCTAACAAGGCTAACAAAAAATCATTAACAACAACAAAAGATTTAAACCAGTATTTCATGTCGAAAGTGAGATTTCACAAATTTCCACAAGACGACATACACACAAACTCACAGGCGAGCCATGAGGTCTTGCGATAGAAACGGCGTTACACATGCGCTTAATATAATTTTTTTTTTATAAAACAAAAAAAAAAAAAGATGTAACGAAACAGCAGGAAAGATGCAAAAAAAAAATATTTTTGTCAAGATCCACGCAGAACGAAAGATTGTTGTAACTAAATTTAGGGGTTGGCTATGACTCAGTTTGCCATAACAGCCAAAACCGACCGTCATTTGCTCTCACTCATTCATCACAACTCACATCCCTTCATCTCGCTTAGTTGCTAGCATTCATTCACATATTTCACCGCCTTGTGTTCCCTTCACTCGTTGAAGTTGTTATTGCTTAATCGAGACCGGCAAGGGCTTATGGCTCTTTCCAGTTGCTTACATTTTTCTTGTGATGTTTGGTTTGGTTTTTATTATAAACGGTCATGTCATTCCGTCTATGCTAGGCAGCATCTCTTCGCTTTGTTATCGGAAATGTACACATCTGGTTGTTTGTTGTTGTTTGTTTTTGTTTTTGTTTACCCAATTTTTATTGTTCCCATTGAAGAGACTCTATTTTATTTTTGGCGCATGCGTTCCTTTCCTTACATTTTGCCGCTTTTGTAGACACTCTAATATTGTGTTTTTAATGGATTTTTAGATTACAAGATCAGGAAATTTATTTATTTTTTTCTTATTTGTTTTCTAATTTAATAGAATGTGAAAGATACTTATAATTAGATAACATAATTTATTATGATTAAATCAAACTCATATTAATAATATATAAATACCATAGCCTACCAAAGGAAAATTATTCTGCACAATTAATTAATATTCTAACTAGTGCAGTTTAGAAATTTATTTTAGTATAGGAAGAGAACGATCAGTTTTTGGGAACACTCGCCAATCCGAACTTTATAACCCGGAATCACTGTCTCTTCAGAGTACTAAAGTTGATAAACCTTGATGCGAAGAATATTCTCTATTGCTTTTATTCTACATCCCACTCCAATATAATATACATTATATATATATGTATATATTTTTTTTCCCCGTATTTAATTTCAATAAAATTTCCTATAACACTGTTCCCATTCCTATTTTTTTATTTATTTTTTCTCTATGTTTAATTTCATTAAACTTCCCATAACACTCTTCCCGTTCCTATATCTTATGACATTAAATGTATTCCTCATACAAACACGAAACATAGCATCATAAGACAATGCATTTTCAACCAGACTATAAAAATAATCACAATAAATATCTTTAAATCAATACTAAGCCTAATTGGAATTATAATATCTACTTATAAAATAAACTTGAATGGTCCAACTATATTTATTTTTCCTCCGCATATCACAATGATCCATTATTTGAGCTTAAGTGGACTTTGGGCACAAGGCAGCCACTTAAATCTAATCTAATCTCACTTTATTCATAAGGAAATTATTCTACTAATAATGAGTAAGAATTCCTAAATTCCTAAATTATTTATTAACATTGGAGTACTCAAGTTAGTACAGAATGATAATATATTATTACACTTTTTAAAAAAAAATTAATTAGACGCTATTAATTCATTAATAATATATATAGTAGGTTAGGTTAGGTTATACCGGTGATTCCCAGTGGATCCACTTAGGCCTATTGGCCCATTGTGATGCCGTAAATAAATAATAAAAATCTCAGGGTTTAAAACCACCTAGAACCTTTTGCGAAGCATAAAATGCTATTTAAAGTCAGATCCTGTAACTGGTACAGGTCTTCAAGGCAGGGGGCTCCTAAAGTACTAAGTCGCCGACGTGCATGAGCTGGGCAAAAACACAAAAGATGAGATGCGCTCTAATCGTCCTCCCCAGAGCTACGACAGATTTGATTAAAAGGAAGACCTATTCTTCTAGCATGGTTCCCTAGTTTACAGTGTCCTGTAGTCAACCCTACCAGAAGACTAATGTCTTTGCGGGACATCTTAATTAGAGTTTTCGATTTCCTTTTATCGGAAAGTGGCCAGATTGCATACAGATGTCTACATACCGTTGAGTCTTCCCATCTTTTGTTAAAAGTATTAGTGCAGAAAGAACTCAATAACAATTTACATGATGTTAACGATATGCCCAGATAGTCTAGGTGCTCCGACTAAGGTTCTGAAACACCCTTTCTGGCTTACTCGTCTGCTTTGCAATTTCCGAAAATATCCCTATGGCCGGGAACCCAGATTAGAGAAATATTGAGCTGCGTCGACATTTCGTTCAGAGATGTGTAGCAGTCAAGAACTGTCCTAGATGTAAATTGGACCGAACTCAAGGACTTTAGTGTAGCTTGACTGTCTGATAGTATGTATATATTCCTGCCAAATATATCATCTACACTCAAACAAGCTATAGCTTCCCTGATGGCGACCACTTCCGCCTGAAAGACACTACAATGATCTGGAAGCCTAAAGTAGGAAGATTTGTTCAATTCCTCTGAGAAAACTCCACTACCTACACCACTACTTGTTCTCTAGATGGAAATACGACATTAAATTTTCTATATATATAGTATGTATATACATATATCCGTGCATAGAAAAGCTGACGATATGTTATGTTCATGAACACCTTAGATTAAGTGTGCAATAGCGGCATAACGTCACCTAACAAATCCATCTCTAATTTCATTAAATATATCTACATTTATAAGGTTATATTTATATATTATATTTTTATAATATATATTTATTTTTATAAGGTATTATATAAGGTTACGTTAATCTAACTGACCGTAAACCACACACAGTCATTTTGGCCTATAGCGATACCAGATTGTTAAGTTAAAACCATTATCTAGAGTTGTATTAGGTAGCAAATTTGAATAGCTTGGAGATCATTTTTCTTTTTACTACTTACTTAAGCCTTATTAATTTTTACTTAGTACGTATATATACAGATATATAATTTTATAATCAAAGTCAAAACTATTTAATAGATTTAAGACTGCAAAAACAATTTACGCTAAAGCCAAAATTTATATTTTTTTGGAATTATTTTTTAAACCACTACACTGAATAAGTTTCTTTTGAATTTGTCAAGGTGTGTTGTTCCAAGTATTAACTGTTCTCTAAAGGTTCTGTTCCAGCTCTCGTTCTGGTAGATATATCACATTTTTTCAGTTTTCGTTTCATAGTGCTATTTTAATTCAGAGCCCGAAATAAAATATTTTAAAAAAGTTTTTTCTGAATTTGATAAAAAAAATAAAAATAAAATTATAGTAAATAACTGGTGTCCTTTTACGCTAATGATAGATAGATAGACAACATACCCAAATCAACAGCTTTTCAGAAAACATTTTTAAACTGTGATAATATATTCATCAAAGCAAAGACATTTAATCAAAAATTATCTGATAAAATTAAATAATAAAAAGTTTTTATTATTATTTTATTATTTATTATTTTAGCAGTTCATTTACTGAAAACCATTTTTCAATTATCATGGACAAAAAGTCCATACTAATAAAGAAACCTTTTTATGTATAATAATAAAACTGCTTATTTTTTTTTATTTCGTTTATTTCTTGTTTAAAAACAAAAATTAAATTTGAAACAACTAATTATTACTTCTCACATATTAATTTTTCTATCTTAATATTTTAAATACACAAATATATATTATATATAAGTATTTATAAAAAGTAATTTTCATATTTTCTAAAAGCAATATAAAAATAAGAATTACAATTATATATATATATAATAAAATATTTTCAAAAAAATTAAAAATTATTAAATTAATTTTAATTTCAAAACAAAAAGGAATTTAAAAAGAATTTTTTTTTGAAATATTTCAATATTTATTATTAATAAACACATGCTAAATTTATAAAACTAATATATAGAAACTTATTATAAGTAAAACTATTTTTAAGCTTTATAAATATATTCCACAAATTTAAAAAATTGTTAAGAGTATTAAAAAATTTGTAATCATACATATATGTCTATATAAATATATAGAGTATTTTTTAAATTCAAATCTTTATTAAAGTTTAATAATATTTTATAATAATATTCAAGAATAAGAATTTCTTTCTTTGAAAATTAATGAAAAAATAATGATTTATTGAGTAGTAACAAAAAAAAATTCATTTAAATGTTTTCAAAAATATATAAAACAAGTAATTTAATATATGAAGATAATTATAAAAAAAATTATTTTAAATTTATATTAGCACAATTTTATTGTCTATATATATAACTAAAACAGTTATATTTAATTTTTTAAGATTTTTTTTACTGTGTATGTGATTTTAATTTAAATAATTAATTTTTAATTAAGGAGTATATAATATATAACCAAAACTATTATATATTTTTATTACATTTGATTTGCGTTTAATTTCTAGATTTTTAAAAGTATAGGAATACGAATTATTTTTAATTTTAATATTTAATTTTTATTTTGTAATATGTATTTATAGATACGAATTTAACTTAAATTAAAAAAACCATTTATTTAAATATTATTTAATACACATATTTTATAAAAATTTTATTAACATAAAACTAGTTAATATTTTATATTGTAATAAAAAATAATTTGTATAAAAATAATTTTATGCTGTTATATAAAATAATTTGTATAAAAATAATTTTATATTCTGTTATAAAATAATTTGTATAAAAATAATTTTATACTGTTATATAAAATAATTTGTATAAAAATAATTTTATACTGTTTTATAAAATAATTTGTATAAAAATAATTTTATACTGTTATATAAAATAATTCGTATAAAAATAAAAATAAAATAGTAATTATAATTATAATTAATTAATAATTAATAATTATTATAACTAATAAAAATATTAAATTTTTAAAAGACCACTATTACTTTTCACCATCGGAATACTTTATGATAACTAATTATTTATTTAATTAATATTTTATAACTCATATAAATATTTTTACATATGCTTTATATAAAATACATATTAGAATTGCTGTATTAATTAGTTTAAAAATGACATGTGATGATTTTTATTTCATTGAAATTATAAGGAAAAATTTATAATATATTAATCTAAATTTTATATTAAGAAATTAATAAGAAAAATAATTAAAATTTAAAAAAATTGTAAATAAATTAATGGCAAATATTTCGTTTGGCATAAAAATTATTTTGTTCACTTTGGCAAGTTTTGTGTATGAATTTCGTTAAGAAATAAGACTTAAAAGATAATAATTAAAAGTTATATACAAAAATTTTTTAAAAATTAAAAATATTAGTTTTCTATTTAAATTTATTAATAAACGCCAAGGATTTGTATATAGATTTAGTCTTTTTTTGACAGACGTATATGTACAAAGGCTTTTGTATAAAAATTTAGCAACATAAATATTTATATATATTTTTATGTATGTAATCATGTATTCAATCATAAAAATATTTTGATTTTATTTAGTTATTTGTTTTTGATTTTTTTTTTTTTTGTGGATTTAATTTATTTTTTTTTATTTCTCTGTTCTTTTTTGGTATGGCACAAATTTGGCATTCAAGTTTGTATTCAGAGTTGAATTATTTTCAGTCATTGAAATGAAATTTAATATATTATTAAATTTTATGTACAAGAATATATACATAATGAAAAAATTAGTTAACAAAAAATAATTTTATCATTCAAACAAAAAAAAATTTTAAAAACTAATGCAAAATATTATAATAACTGTGCTTTTAGAATTATTTATAAAAATTCTTTTCTTAAAAAAAATAACAAAATTAAATCTTTTCAGTAGTACAAACATTTTTTTTGTGTTACAGATACAATTTCATTAAATTAAATTTTTACATGATATTGATTGAGATACATATTTACATGTAATTAATTTAAATAAATTTAAAATCTCACTTCGTATCATTACTTTGTGTTTGTACTAATAACATGAGTATTTTGTTCATTAAATTATCAGCCTCTGTGTCTTCCATGCTATTTAGCTTCGCTGATATGAAACCACAAAATTTGGAATTAAGAACTTCCCGTACAGTCTGCGGTGGCGGCATATCCATACCAACCATACCATTCATGCCCATGCTTTGTTGACGCAAATGACGATGTTGCTGCAACATTTGACCTTCATATTCATCATCCTCGTCAGCATCGTCAGAGCCATGCATATCCTTACGTCTACGTTTAACAGTATTTGCGCCAGCGCTCCTAGGTGAGTTAGAGTCTAAAATTAATGGATATGGAAAATCAGCATCAATTGCCTCCAGTTCTTCAACCTCATCAGAACCTTGATGACTGGCTGCTGTATTGCGTATGGAAACTTCATCTCCACTACGTAACGAAGAGGCATCCATATCATCGAATGTTGTGTTTTGTGTGGTATCATTGCGTGTAGATGAGACACGACTGTCATTATGCACGGGATGAGCGCTCTTCAATAGCTGTAGATGTTGTTGTTGTTGCGTATGGTTACTTTGATGAGCAGGTATGGGTTGCTGTGCGCCACTATTGTGACGTTCAGATGCATCCAATTCTGGCTTTACGAAATAATAATAATCATCATGAGTCATATTTAATGTTGAACATTTTGACAGATTCAGCACCGAATCATTAAATGATGAGTGCAATGACGAATGTAGTGATGAGTGTAATGCATTCAATTTCATTGAGGATTTATTATTGTTATTGTTGTTATTGCTATTGTTGTTGTTATTCAGATTATAGTTGTTGTTGTTGATATGTTGCGAAAATGCACTCAAGTTAAGGCCAATGGCCGATTGGTCAGTAGCATGTGAACCACCTCTGAAAAAATTAAATATCAAAAAAAAATATAGAAATAAATTAAAAAGAAATTAAAAAAATTGAATTCAAAATAAACGTAATAATATATAATATAAATATATAATATAAATACATAAAATAAATATATAATATAAATACATAAAATAAATATATAATATATATTATGTTGAAGCACTTTGAGCCAGTGCACTTGAGCACTTTTATTCTCTATTAACTGCGAGGTAACTTCATAAAAATATTTTTTTGTTGTTGTAGTTCATTAGTTTTCGAAGCCTCTCTACCACCAAATATAAAAAATAATATATATTAAATTATTAAATAATATATATTTATAAATATTTAAAAGTGTTTTTCGCGGTCTTCCAAATAAAATTTACCAAGACTGAACACAACAGGTAAGAATTTGATAGTTCTTTTGGAAATTCAAAACTATGTGCACGCCGGCCTATTAGTCAATGATCTACTAGGGAAAATTAATTTTTTGTCAACAATAAATGGATTTTTAGGTTAGTAGTCTCGATGTAGTAGTCTAACATCTATTTTGTGCTGTTTAGAAAAAAAAGAACAGTACATAATACATTTACCGAAACTCTGAGAAATTTAAAAATCTAGAAATCAACTAATATATATATATATATAGTATATAACCTTTGAGTGTCAGACAATTTTTTCGAGTTTGCCAAATACCCATCGTCAGTGGTCTGGGAAATATTTCTTATATATAATTATTCGTAATTTATTTATAAAAACTGAAGTATCAGTGGTTTAAATCGTAGGCTGCCAAATTTGAAGCTCAGAATCAGTGTTCATTAGCGAACCGACCCAAAGCCATACCTGACTTGTATGTTCGAACTTGAAGTTTTGCTAATTTACTTTGATTAATGAATTAATTATTTAGTTAACTAAGAAATTAAAAAGTTCAAACTCAAAAAATTATTTACGAATAATTAAATGTTAGAAATAATTCCAAAACCACTGATGATAAGTGTTTGACAAGCCTCAAAACAGCTATATGTTCAGCTAAAAATTCTACTTATTAAAATAAATGAAAATTGTTGTTGTTGTGATTCACTACTATTTGCAACCTCACTCTTAAATACAATAGTTTCTATAAAGTAAAGTATCGGTGCCGTCATAACTGACTTTAAAATGAAACTTAATATAAAAAAAATAATAAATTTAATAAAATGATTTATAAAAATATAATAAAAATAAATAAAAATTAACTTATTTTTGCATTTATGATGAATAAAAATACTTTTTAAATATATTTATAAGTACTTCAAATATTATATTGAAGCCGATATCTTGTACGTTGAGTCATATATTGTAGTTATATTTAAATTCTTTAAAACGTATAGAAAAACCATTAAAACCGAACAAGCCAGAGAAGTTCAGTTGAAACGCATAAATAAGGTTCAAAATCTCAGAAGTGGCAACCGGAAATAAAAAAACGTTGATAACACAAATACGAGAAACCACTGCATTTGCAGCTGCAAACCACAAAAAAGGCAAATAAAGACCTCAGTATTACAAGAATGTTTAATAAAAAAAAAAAAAAATTAATATCAGAACATGAAAGATTTCATTTGGCCGAGATTAAAAAATAAATACAATACTTGGATATACAATAAAAAACTGCGAAGAAAATAAAAAGACAAATGTTAAAGTGAGAATATGTAAAGGAATTTTCCTACTGCATATATGTTATACGAAGAGGACACATCCTTATGAATAATTTTCACATAAAACTACAAATGACATAAGTAAATGTTGGCGATAAATGCCAAAAATGTGAAGACAAAGAAAAATGCACTCGATTTCCTCTCCACCAACAACAGAACAAACAAGAAACCGTGAATTATATATCTATATGTGTGTGTATCTATCTATAAACACATAAAATAAAAAGTATCTGAAGTAAGAAGCATATAAATAGAAAATTTATTCAAGCGCAGTTCAGATTCAGATCGGAGTTTGTGTAGCGTTTCCTTCTCTTTATAAGTTTCCTTTGAAGGTACCTGCCTGCGCACACCCATGCCAAATATGAGAAGAACTGCTTTAAATTTGGCCAAATCGTGCCTACGTATGAGAGGCAGCGAGTAAAACGGAATATATTTGAGATATGCATGCAGATCCTTGTGTAAGCGGCGTTCATCTAAAAATAGCTTAAATTACAGATGTTCCACATAAAATACAACAACGTGCAGGAACTGAATGTTCCCAGCCAACAGCCAAACTAAATGAAATCAAATCGCGTACCAACGTTCAAGCCATTAACCATTGTTTTGAATAGGAACGTTCGTACATGTTGCTGGAGCCTCTTCGAGCATTAACCAAACAATCTTTGTTATGTATTATTTATCTTTTTTTTGTGTTTTATTTTTTAGTAATTTGATATTTTCCATATGCACTTTCGTTACATTTTAAAACGACAGCACCACTGTTTCCAAACTCCAATGTCTTATTTTTCCTACATGGGAAAATGGTTTGGAAAAATTTTTTGTTAACGGGGAGGGTTGGAAATGTTGCTATTTTTAGCTGTTTTATGACAGATACATATACGTGGTAGTACAGATCCAAAACAGTAGACGGTAGATTTACATTTCTAAACATCTTAATTAATTCAGAGATACACAGATACATTTGTCAAACTGTACATAAAAGCGTAGGAAATGTCATTACATTTTAAAGCATAAATAGAATGGCAATTAAACCAGCCGAATCTGGAAGTATGTGTGAGTTTAGATATCAAAATGAACCGTAAATAAAACTAAATAATTTTAAAAATTTAATGAAATAAAATTTCAGAAAGAGTATTTTCCTTTTAAAATAACCAAGAATTTAGTTTTGTCTCACATGATACTGACTTAGTATTTAGGGTTTCTTTTTAACATTGAATTGAAAATCAGCTTCAATGAATTCTCGATTTTATGTAAAAATATTACAAGAACTAAGAAATCAGTGGAGCAGATGTTCTACTACTGTTCAGCACTGATTAAAACAGAACATAAATTTCACAAAATTTTCTTTCATGACCAACATTACAATCATACGCCTTTATCTCTTAGATTCAATGCTAACTCAAGTCATGCTTAAAGTCATCAACTTTGCTTAATTCATACTTACGTCAGTTTTGAGATTTAAGAAACGACTTTGAAATGTGCCCTTAAATAATAAATAAAGCTAACATTTAGTATGAATAAGAACTCTTGTGAATAAAACTTCTTATATACTTACAGGGCAATTCTGACAAAGATTATTAAAAGTCTTTCAAAACATTTTTAAAATATAGAATGAAAGACTGTTCTAACGATTCTGGCAAAAAAGTCTTTCAAAAAAAGTGTAATCATCTGTAATTCGTGGTGAAAAGCTGAAAGCTGGTCAGGTGAAAGATCTGTTCCAAAGTTCCAGAGCTGGCCCCTAAATCACTCCCCGATCATTGCTTAAAAACAGAAGATATTTCCTATTTGTTACCAATCATATGTGAACTTTTCCATTTATCTAGCATTTTTTGATATAAATACGAAAAACTCTCTTGTATGAAGCTACATATAAACTTAAACAGATACATAATAATTATGGTCTATGTCTAAAAAATAGTTTTTTATGTGTTTTTTTGCTGTGTATAATTTGCCAACAATAAGAACTACTCAACATAGACATGCAAAAACGACTAAGTCATCACGGCTAAGTTATAAGACACACTATTATATTGGCTTAGCTTTTTAGCCGCGAAAGTGTTGCCACATTTCCATATTAAATGAAATATAGAAGTTATAATACTGACTTAATACATTTTGCTTAAAATGTAAACATATGCTGAATCGAGCAATGTCAACAGTTAAATGCAATCATATAATTTAATTTAAAAGTTAAGTGGGTTAGCAAATTAAACAAGCTAACCACGTAGCTAAGAACTTCTCAAAAATAAACCAAGAAATCTTTAAACACCCATAATCTAATTACATGCATATTATTAATTACTTATAAAGTTTCGCTGTTTCGTGCTGTGGTCCAAATAGATCTGTTATTTTTGGGGAAATCTGCTTCAATTTTTTTTCTTGCGTTCCATGTAACTCTACCGAGTGAGGTGAGCGGCACTTTATCTTCGATGGCGAGTGGTTAGGAGGTGTAGGCCGATCGCTCCTGGAACCATAAAAGTTTGTTTAAGCGAGTCAGTAGAGTAGCAAATAAAATTTATAAAGATTACTACTTATCGCCACACTAATATTATAACTAAAAATTTACCTAGTCTTTGTTAAATTTCTAAAATCTATAAAATAAATCAAAGGGACACAAATACAGTACTAAAAAATCTACACGACTTTTTCTACAAGAAATCTAAAGGACATGCAATTTTTAAACTAAACAATAATAAATGTAAAACAGATTTGGTGTTCAAAGTAACCCAATTTAATTACAACAAAACTGATGACAATAATGTATCCATATTTCAGGAATAATATCAACTGCCATACCAAGTAGACCTATTTCCATTCCTAAATTAATTATAGTACCACTTCTACTTTATCGAATAGTATTTCCTTATCCGATATAAAATATACACCTAGGTATTTCCATCTCTTATGCGAAACGATTATGTAAGCGGTTTTGTTCTGATAAGCATATAGGCTATAGGCTTCAAAAAGGTTTATGTGTTTCTCTTCTTCTTCTGAAGAAAGTACCACTTCTGAGTATACAAACACACAGCAATAAGACTGGTGCTTTCCTGTCAAGTGTGTAATTTCCTTGTCAGAAGAATTGAAGAATTTACACTACAACCTTGAGATCTGTCGTAGCTCCTTCATATGAAGTTAAAGTATAACTTCAAATCAATATTCTAAAATGAACATAAAATTATTTATTCTGTGATAGAAGAGCGCATTTAGGTCCTTTTTTTATAATGTATCAATGTCGAGCAAACTCTTGGTACATGTTTGAAGGTCTTATGTTCTACCCTCAAATGCGATCCATAACTTAACATAACGTAACTTAAAGATCTCCAGCTTAACATAACACTCAATCACCTAAAACTCTTAAGATCCTCACTTCACTATATCTAAGAATATTTAGTTTATCAAGTTTTGATGTCACCTTACAAAAATATTGCTTACTGACTATAAATCTTCTAGTTCCCAAGAATGCTTTAAGGCAGCCTACAATTAAACTGCTCTAATAGTGTCAATAATCATTACAATTATACCAGAAGTGATTTAATATTTTGCAAATAACCTAAATTTAAAATATATGATACTAAATTAGATTATCGTTATTTACAACATTTTTTCTGGAATGAATAAATGCTTATTTACTTTAAAACTATCTTCAGTAATTTCTTCGCAAAAAAAATAAATAAATTGGTCACTAAAGGGTTAATTATACTGTGATTCTGGTAGAATTATAGAATAGATCTCTTTAACATTGTGTTAATTTCTATTTAACTGATACTCTGAATTTAAATTAAATTAGATAAATAAATTTGTTATCATTTTTTTGATTAATATTTGATATTAATAATTATTAATAATATTATTATTAATAATTATTAATAAGTAATAATACAAATAATTAATTATAATTAATAATTGATAATAATTAATTATAATTAATAATTGATAATAATTAATTATAATTAATAATTGATAATAAATAATAACTATTCTTAATCAAAAAAATTATAACAAATTTATTTATCTAATTTAATTTGAATTCAGAGTATCAGCTAAATAGAAATTAACACAATGTTGAAGAGATCTATTCTATAATTCTACTAGAATCACAGTATAATTAACCCTTTAGTGACCAATTTATTTATTTTTATTATTTTTATTTATTTTTATTAATTATTTATTTTTATTAATTATTAATAACTATTAATTACTAATTTTTCATAATTAATTACTATTAATTATCAGTTATTCTGCTAATTAAATTATTAATCTTTTAAAATAAACTCATTAACCATAAATAAAATAGAAACTTCATTCTATATTATAGATTTCAGATTCGTATTAATAGAAGGTAACACATAGAATATATACACATGTCTATGTGTTCTACTTTTTATGTCTCACTTGCAACAACAAAGCAATGACCTAAAATTACTAAAAAAAAAATTTTACATGAAAGTAAATTAGGTACAATTTATTAATAATTTAATTTAATAAATATTAATTTAGTAACATCGACAACAACAACAACAGCAACAAAACGAATTATCTTAAATGAAATCTACAAATTCCATGATTTCCTCAATAATTGACTGTACCCACGTTTATTTATTTAAACTGATAACGAAACATGGAAAGACGAAATCATCACTTAAGCCACAAAATAGTGTCAACCATTGAAAAACAAAGTCTAAGTGAGAGCAACCGAGCAGGCGAGCGTTTATTGTGAGCAGCGGGCATATGGATTGAAAAACAGCAATATGCGGGCACAGGGAAAGCAAGCAAACAGGCGGCGGCAGGCAGATGATAAATTAAAATGGACCAAGTTTACTAAAGCAGCAAAGGCAATTACAAAAACAGCTACAACGAAATAATGAAATGGCAAAGTATTAAGCCTGCAATGAGTAAGTAAGCACGCAAGCAAGCAAAGAGCAGTAAATAAAATCATTTCCTATCAGAATAAAAACACAAACAACTACATTAGCATAATAAGATGATATACAATATAGTATAAGTGAACACAGTTATGATCATTACCATAAAGAACGAACAAAAATTTCAAGCGTCAACGGCAACGGCAACTACAACGACAACGTTCGCATCAGCAGTAGCCTCAGCCGCAGTCGCAGTAGTATAAGTACCAACAACAATAACAGCATCAACAATAGCCATCAGTATTAAACATTAAAAATATAATTGGAAACGGCGATAAATGCAAAAAACCAGGGTTAAAACATTTACGTTAATACATCTCGTGTAGAATTGCAAATGTAAATTTGTATTGGTATGAGTGAGCTCAATTACTCTATATGTATGCGTTTTGTCCACATACATATGTATTTATATTTTAATGTACAAAGAGGGTAGCAGCAATCAAAGGCGATTAAGTATAAACAGACGCATACTTTCCATGCAAACACGTACTATATATCAACGTTTTTCATACAAATAAGTACAAAAACGTACACCACAATTGTTGCTGACTGTTTGTCTGTTTGTCACTGTTGACTGTTGTATGTATGGATGTGTGTGTGTATGTGTCTGGCATATGAATTTGTATTTTGATATGCAAGTACTTTTGTGATTTAATAAGCAAATGAGCTGAAAATTGTAGCAAAAGACGAGCCAAGCAGCTACGGCAATACAACGAAACAAGCGCGGAAGAATGTGTAAAGAATGTGGCAGTGGAGCATGAGGAATGGAGCAGGCGCAGGCAGACAAGCAAACAACTGTAGCAGGCAATAAATGAAGAACAAGAACACAAGCAATTCTGTTCAGTTCAGCTCAGCTCGGCTCGGCTCGGCTCGGCTAGTAGTAAATGGCAGATGGACAGCAGCTACGAAAATACTCATGAAAATTATTTGTTGGTTACTTGGCTTGGTTTGGTTGACTTAGTTTTTACTGGGGATTGGATCGTGAAGCTAATATTGTCGTTATGAGCAATGCTCGATTTGTTTGAGTTTGGCTTGGTTTATTTCAATCGCGTCATAACTGGGCGTATACCATATATACATTTATTTTTTTTTTGGTTTTTTTTTAATTTTTTATTATTAGCGTACATTAATTTTTTTATTTTATTAAAAAATTGCTCTTTATATGTACATTAATTTCTTGATAGGCCAAACGTAAACGGGCAAAATTGCATCAGCCATATTTATTCTGTTCTGTTATGAGAGACATACATATTTATGAGTATAAAAAAAAAAATATTTCTGAACCATATTTCCTTGCTAATCTTTAGAATTCATATTACATTACAACCACCAATTTGTGGGAACTACGGAAATTATTTATGTAATAAACTTTTTTTTCAATATTTGGTCGCGAAAGAAGTGCAGTAAATAGATCTATTCAAAAAATCTAGGTGTGTGTTTATAACAAAACAAAGACATAATATAGATATATATTCGGAACTATAGAAAATCTTGTATATATACAGATAGCAAGATAATATAATAGATAGCAATTGATGATATTGATATTTATGTGTTTATAACAGAACAGATCCAAAATATAGCACAAAATTTGAGGAACTACATATATTGATATTGTTAACAAATTTCTAAAAAATGCCTGATTATAATATAATTTTTAAAGAAATTATAGCATTTAATTATGTAGAAAACTTGCCGATCAATGGTATTACTAATAAAATTATCTCATTCTACTGTTAGTATATCCCCTTGAAAGTCATTATAAGACCAATAATCTTTTAATAGTGGGCTTTGCAACACTTAGATTTATGCGGCTGTATAATAACCAACAGTATTAAGTGAATCTCTAAAATAAACCAACAATGGCGTTACTATCAAAAGTATATCCGTTTGTTACAAGATCTTCCCATAAAAGTTATTATAAACTGAGTAAATGTGTTTTATAACAATGAATAAACCAGCAATTCCAAGAAACCAGCAATCTCTAGAATAAACTAGCCACGTTATTACTCACAAAAGTACTTCAGTAGGCTGCAACACTTTTCATTGAAAGCCATAATAAGATAATATACCTAGATTTATGCGGCTTTATAATAACCCAACAGTCCTAAGTAGATCTCTAGATCTCTAGAAAAAATATAATAACGTAGTCAGAATCAACTCAAAATAGTGTTGAACCCACGAATAAAATATATCCATGCGCACAAGAAACAATAAACAATTTTTTTTTAATAAATTATGATAGCCATTTAAAGCAGACTCTCAAATTAACGAATATTTGAACTGATTTGAAATTAACCCGATATAATGAACCTCTATATTCACGAACGATCCAAAACTTACTATAACAAATTTAACAAAAATGGTTTCTCTAAACAACTAATGTCGAATATACTATAAAATGCATTCAAAGTTACGAAAAGGCTTGAAATAATATATTTCGTTAGACCAATATTCTATTATAATAACTTGTTTAAATGGTAAATATAAATCAAGATATTTTTTTTTAATTAAAATTGGCTATCATTTGTTTAAACAAACGAAAGAAACTCTAAATTGATCGGTATAAATAGGTTTTGAAATAAATACATACGTTGACAAGAGTAATAACTAAATTCAGATCAATTGTTGATTCAGATTATCTTTTAATCAAATTCATGCCGTGTGAATAGGCAATAAGGCTATACAACCCGAAAAAAAATATTTGTTGTTATTATTGCGATTCAATAATACCGAGAATATTAAAATCTGATTCTGTTGCAGAAGTTTATTTTAACTTTATTAAAAATACATATATGTTAATTTCAATGTGATAAAAATTAAAGGTCTCTGCAGACCTTTATATCAAAAAAAATTACACTTAATTTAATTTTTTTTTTTGGAAATTCAAATTCAGTAACTAACACATATATAACAATAAATATTAAATATCAAACTATAACAAATACTAATATTTATAATTTCATCATTTTTTTTTTAAATTTACTATATATTTTTTCAAAACTTTCAATTATTTTCTACATTTTTTCTAACTAAACTTTAGAGTAACTAATTTTAATTCCTAAGTCATATTAAAAATTATTTTAATTACTTTATATTCATTGTATTATAATTATCCGATATCAGTATTTCCTCTGCTGAAACTCAATATTAAAAGAGAGAATCAAAAAAGCTCATATTTGCAGAAGGAGCTAACTTGCACCTTTTATCGTGGAAATATAGTAAGCTTTTTCTCTCTCTCTACATAAATAGCGATATATCTGACTACATACATATACATTCCTATTCTCTATCATATCCCAAGTATGCTACTATATTAACCAATTGTAATCATATGTAATCATAATATAATCGATTTTCACTATTACTACAAATATTTCATATCAGTAAAATGAAAGTGCATGCAATTTGCTAACCAAGTCAAGACGTACTAAATTTGAAATATATATACCTATATATCATGCGTAAAATATTAGACCATTAAAGTTACTAGAGGGCAGCTATTGCTTTAGCTATAATGACGAATTAGAGTTATTGGCGTTAGCTAAGATTATCACCTACTTTATGAGGTCTTAATCTATACACTTTCAAAGAAAATTTTACAATATGGAAATTGAGGAACAGGTAGACCAAGTCAAAAATGGATTGGTGTTTTATAGAAACGAATAAGTACGATTAACATTAGTAATTACACTGGAGGAGTATATAACAGAAATAATTGTAGACGCAGAATGAAAAAAGGTTTAACCCACGTCTCAGGATTATGGTTTAAATAATAATTATATATAGATAAAATAAATAGGTAAAAAGATGTTCTAATTTATTTTTACAACTAAAAATATACATAAATATATGCGCAGATCATAGCAAAACTACAAAACAATCTGTCAAATAAGATTCACACCGAAGAATATGTAGAATATATGTAAGATATTCTACCAGCAATTATAAAAATTAAAATAAAACAATAAAAATGTGAAAAATAGTTGCAAAGCGATATTTTTGAAAATTTAATTCAATAAACCTGCGAAGGTTAAATATTGTTTTCGCTTATGTGACTCATTAAGAACAGACTTATTTTTCAATATTTATAAGTATATATATATATAAATAAATATAAATATGTGTTTATAATTATTGAATGATTCTATAGTTTAAATATACACCTATGTATATATATTGTAAAATATGTATATATAATTATTTATGACAAAATAAATAGATTTGCTTAAGCCTTGATCAATTTTCAATACCCTTCACACAGTTATTTATATAACAAATCAATTAATCAATTATGAACTGTTTTTGCACTTAAATTATACACTTACAAATAATTTTCAGTATAGACCTATTATACCTCCCTTTATATATACAAAAACCCCCTTTGTTCTGTTATTATGCTCTATATAGTACAATATAATCACTTGATTTAATCTATTTGTTGATCTGATCTTCCAAGATTTACAAAACGTCTGTAGATAATTTCATAAGATTAAAAATGGAGAAACTACTTTACATACAAACAAAAAGACAAATGAACTGGAGGTCTGCCACACGGTCATATGATTATGGTTAAATTGATTAGTTATATCACGCTGACTATAACTATATAGATATAATAATTAATTATCTTCTAAATTAGTTTCACTACCTAAGATACATATATTAAAGAAACTAATACCGCCTGCTCATAAGTGTAAATGCTGTAATAATATTAAGAAGAGCCTAAAGGAAACATATCATTAAAAATAATTATATATACGCTTTTACTTGCGTTGGTAAAAATAGAATAATAACAGAGATCTATAAGTCCCAATTTTGTTACGCAATTAAAGCTCGAACAAAGCCACCAGCAATAGTTAAGACTTGCAAACTAACCAAATCCTTTGAACCTGTACACAGAAATTAAGATCTTTGAACATCTAACTCTGAACTAAATTCAAATTGTATAAAACTAATATTAGTCACACTTTTATTTAGAGTACGAATAGAAGCACCAACAATACTAGAAACTTACAATCTGAGCAAATCTTTACAAATTTTATTAAATCTCCTAAATCTTCGAGCATAAGACTCTGTACGAAAATAAAATTGTTTAACACTAATGTTAAAGTCCCAGTTTTAAGTGTACGCAGTAAGAGTAGGTATAGAACACTCAACTCAATTCCAAAACCGAGTTATATAACAAAACTAAGAGGGGTTCTAAGAGCGGAACCACTAATTAACTTCGACAACCAGGTGGTGTTCATCATCCCAAAAAAGAGAATATACCAACAGTTACGTGTTTTGTTTTAATATTTAGCTACTCGATAGATCTTCGCGGGTTACTACACATATTACGTAGGTACGCAAGGGATATCACTAAAGAAAAGCTATTCCCAATGTGGCGAAAAAAACCGAACGTTTAGACATAAACACATATAAAAAACAAATTAAAGCATATTTTATGAGATAAAATAAATATCTACATTATATTATATTTTAAATATATATAATATATATTAAACATATTTTTTATTCTGAATTATACATGTATATATTTATTTATATATATTGTACAATTAATAAAATATTAATGAAGATTAATCAAATTAATAATTAATATTTAATTTAAATTAATGAAATAAAAATTAATGAAAAAATTAAATAATAAAAAATATGTTAAGTATATTTTAAATATTTAACTAAGCCGCATTCAGTAACTCAGTATTCAGTAAACTTTGCTATGAATTATCGAAAATGACCGAATAATCGAGTTCGGTCTGAACATCCTATTACCAGAATAATTAGAAACTGTATCATTAAGAACTTTTATATAAATATTTGGCAAAATCAATATCACATTAATTTCGTTCAACTTTTAAAATTATTATATATTATATTCTATTAAATATTATAGATAACATTTATATTATTATTGTATCTATATAATATATATATATTATGTATGCTATATTAATTTATTATATAATTTAATATTATATAATTTATTTTTATATAATATATTTATTTATATATTAATACTAATAGATTAATTTTATAATATTATTATTACTCTATTAATATATTATAATTATTATATAATTATTATTTTAATATAATCGCTCTATAATTATTACAATAAATTATTTTCTCATTATTATACAATATATGTATATATTATATAATATATTATATTAATCCACAATATCTTATATTCTATTATTATAAACTTATTTTTAATTAATATAATATTTTAATATAATATATTTATAATTAAATATATGTTATAATTATTACATATTATTTTTATAGATTATATACATTATTATAATTATTATATAATATATGTATATTATTTTACCAATATATTATATATTTATTATTATATAATATATTTTAAGTTAATATATCTTTTATATAATAATTAATATTAATATATAGTTTAATATTAATTAAATTAAGCAATTTCATAATATTAATTAATACATTCGACAAACACTGGAGTACTACTAACTAATTTTCAAAACAAAACACTTTCTACATACAAAAGAGAATTAAAACAGTTGGCAATGCTTGCTTTGATGCTTATTACAAAAACAAAACAATGCAAAAAAATTCTAAAATAAAAGTGCATAAAAGGCAAATAAAAAAAAATCAATAGAAAGAGCAACTAAGAACGTACGGAGATTTATCTCCATTTCTTTTTTATTCTATATTTTAATGTTCAACTAATTTGCTAGAAAAATCTAATGACTTATTTTCTATGAATTTGGCATTATTTTCATACTCACTTTCGTTCCCTGATAACATCGCGTAAGAAATCCATAGCTTCGTAAAGGCTCCATTTTGGTTTAAATCCGTTGCCCATGATCTTGACGTGCGCTAACTCGCGACGATAAGATTCACGCAAAGACTTGAATGCACGCGCTACTCTACGTCCGGGCGCATTGAAATGCTTACCAATCTGTTCCCAAGCACGATTCTTCTCCTCTTCAGCACCTTTGAAGTTTGGTAAGCGTGAATCCCAGAGTATTGGATTATCATGTACCATTTGGATCAATTTCAATTTGTCGGATGCGTTACGGCGAACCACTGCAAGTAAATCGAGGGTAAATAAAAATGTTTCTTTCGTTGTTGGATAAAGTTGTTGTTGTTGTTGTAATGCAATTTCTGTTTTTACTGTTTGTTCAATTCTATTTCTAGCTGTCCTAGTAAATGGTTTGCCAGTCACCAGTAGTTTTGTTGTTGTTGTAGTTGTTTTTGGTTTAGGTTTAGGTTTAATTATTGTAGTAATACGATTATTCGTTTTGCTAACATTTCTTAGAGATTTCGGTAAAATATTTATAAAATTAACTTTTTTATTTTTCAACGCACATTTTTTTATTTTCTGCTGTGATTCCATCAGTTCACCTTTTGGTTTCATCTCTGCACTTAAATCAGTTGGAGCACCGCTCATATCGTCTTCTGGTGCAGATGGTGGTGGTGTTCGGCTTGCCGGTGATGTACTACCGCTTTCACTGGTTTCCATAAACGCTTTTATTTTATTTCTTATACTTTTTTTCTTCTAATATTTTAAAATAAAATTGTAAATTAAAATAAAAAAAATTATTCACTTTTTGCCAAAACTGCTTTTGTATAAAAAGTTTTTTTTGTTTTTGTCAATAATCACAGATTTTTCATGTACTTAATCTGATCAAGTTAAACGGATCGTTTTAATATTTTTCTACGCACACGCATTCAGGCTTATTTCACTTTGCTACCCTCTCACGACCAAGTTTAAAAACCAACTAAACCAAAAACCACCCGAACCCGACACTAAAACACAAGCAAAAAATATGGGAACACAAAATCACGCTTAAATAACATCGCAAAAGAAAACCCCTCCAAGCGCACTCAGCAACTGTCTTAATTTTATGCTTGCGCCGCTATGCTTATTGCTTTTTTCGCCTCTCTCTTGCTTTTGGCTACATTCGCGACTTTTTTGTAAGCCGCATTCGAAAAGTAAGAACACACACCAGAGAATTTGACAAACAGAAAATTTCAGTACAGCAAATAGCCAAAAATCCCTACAATACAATACCCAGTCATGATGATATGAATATGAACTGCACACACGTACACATACACACACACAGAACTCATTGTAAATAATTAATTTGTTATGATCAATTTTAATTCTCTCTTGCTCTGTTCTCACTGGACTTGGCACAGCACATCACGTTAATATATTGCCACTGCTCTTACGCTCAAGTGGTGTATGCACGATAATGAATAATGCATGGAGAAAGGAATTATATAAAAGAAAATCCGTTAGAACAAAACGTAAGAGAAAGATTTTGCTTTGTTTAGAATTGTGTGAAATATGAAAAATGAATATAAATAGAGCAAATTTTGTAACAGTGGAAAGTATTTGAAAGATAAGTAATGTTATTGTAGTTGTTGGACAAATACTTCTTATAACAATTATTTATAAAGAAATAATTAATATTATTACAATTTGTTATTTTAATCACCAAATTTTATTTATATATTTCTACCTAGGCTAATTGGTCAATATTAAATAAGTAATAACATATTAAAGTACTTTTAGAAATATAGATTACTTGAACCAATTTTCTGTCATTTTCAAGATACTAATATAATATATAATAAATTATATGTTAATAAAGTTTCCACAGTTTATTTTTTAAATGATCACATTTTATTTATATGTTTTATTATAAATTTTTTTATATTTTTACTTAGTTCGTTTATTAATATTAAATAAGAAACTATATTTTAAAGTAGTTTTAAGATCGAGATCGAGATACTTATATAATACGTATATAATAAATAATAAGTTTCCACAGTTTATTTTTTAAATGACCACATTTTATGTATATACTTTTGAATAGGTCAATATTAAATACGAAGCAACTATGTGTTAAAATCAGTTTTAATATACAATGTCTTTTATTTGCACCTACATTACGACTATAGTCATTTCCAGGGTACTGATATAATACAAATTTTCAAAATACATAGCAGAATATTTTTACTAAATTATAATAATTTAAAAGATTGTGGATAATAATCACATTAATGGACCCCTATAGGACAATTCTGGCAAAAATTGTTAAATTGCTTCGATAGATTTTTGAAAAAGTGAACGAGAAGATTTTTGCTATTCCAGTACAAAAGCCTTTCAAAAAAAAACTTTATCATTATTTATTGCTTGTGTGGTGAAATCAAAAACAGCTGTTAATCACTACCGCATGCAACAATTGAATTTCAATACAAATGTTATGAAAAGCCGCAAAATATACATTAAATTCATATTACTACTTAAACATGAATAATTATTTAATGAATTTTACTCATGACATGAAAGAAATGATTTCAGTTATATCATTAAGCATAACAATTGCAAATAAAAATTATTTATTTTTAAAATTATAACTTAAATATGTATAAATAAATAAATAACCCATGTTTAATAAATAATATTAATTATAAAAATTTAAATATATATATTATACATATATATATAAATGAAATTTGAATAATTAGTCCATTTTCACATATATTAATTAGTTTACTATTCTTTTTTTATGTTTTATGTAATTATATTATATAAAAAAACATTTAATTCCTGAAAAACACAAAGAAAATATTAGCTCATTAGCACATTTAACTTAAGTATTATGTTGACAAATACAAGAGGCAAATTACACAAAAATACACATATATGTCCAATAAATTATTGTCGGTGTCGATTGGCAAATCTAGATTTACTCTCGATATGTCATATTATTCTTGAATTTTATGTAAGAAATTTCAAGAGACGAAATGAAAGATATGTTATTTCGACTAACAGCTGATGTTTTGTTAATTTTTTTTATGTCTAAAAAATTTTCTTTATATAAAATTAAAAAAATTAAAATAAAAAATATTAATGAATTTAAATTTATAAAAATATAATTAAATAAGAATAATACTAAACTATTATAATATCTCGAAAAATATACTTTATATATTTATGTATAATATATGTTTTTTAATATAGATATAAATGTTAATATTTAACATATTAAATTAAAATTTTAATTTTAAGCTTTAATTTTAAAATTAATTAATATTTTTTTATTTGACACTGCTGTGTTTTATGCGGTTATAGTTGCTACTATTTCTTTCATGACATGAATTAATTTGAAAGATCTTCAATAATAAATTATTTAGGTATAAATAATAATAATTAAACATACGTATTGCGGCTTTCCATCACGTTTGTATTTAAATTAGTTTGTTAAGTTGAATACGGTAGCGATTAACAGCTGTTTTTGATTTTCCAGGAAAGTAATAGAACAAAACAGCTTTTCACCACGAATTAGAAATTATAAAAGTTTTTTTAAAAAACTCTTGTGTCAAAATATCAAAAATTTTTCAAACTATAATTCAAACATCTTTGGAAATAGTTTTAACGATCTCTGCCAGAATTGCACTGTAAACTTCGAAATACACTTGTGAGTTTTAAACCTGGCATTTGTAGTCCAAACAAATTATTATATTATTATAATATAATAATATATTATTATATTATTAAACAAATTAAATTATTATTATAAACTAATTAAATTCGAATATTGCCTTAGACCATTGATGATGAGTACTTGGCAATACTCGAAACAGTGTTGTATGGTCAGCCAAATTTCAATAAATCAAAAATAAAAAAAATTCTTTGTGATTGTATGAAAGCGAAAATAATTAACTTTAAAAATATACTTACCAAGTAAAATAAATACCTCTAAATAGTGTAAATAGAGTAAGTAATTTAATTATCGAATAAACAAAGTACATTCAACAATTATAGTTTATACCTCTAAGAAATCTGAGAATTGAAAAAATTAATCTAAGCTTGTCATGTTTATAATTTTCATATATTCAAGACAACAATAAAGTGCTAAACGATGTTGTGAAAAGTTATAACATCACGCTAATTAATATATGAAATAATTGTAGTGTAAACGCATTTGTTATTATGTCATATAAGGACATTGATCAAATTAAGTGATTTGTTCCACTGTACTCTTCAATTACAATAAGTATGTAAGTAGTAGCAATTGTTCTTAGCCCTCTCTTGTGCGTTTCAATTTTTTCTCGTTATTCTTTGACTATTCTTTTTAATTGATTATTAAGTTTTGTGTTAATAAAAACCAACTTAGGAACAAAGCCGAAATAGAAGCACATTATTGCATCGTACCTCCCCTCCCTGCACCATTGGTGGTATAGTTAAGACGTACAATTACCATAACAGCAACTGTTCACTGCTGATACAATTAGTAGTTATTGTTTTAGTTTGAAATCCACGAAATTTCTATTGATGGCAATTTCTTGCTGATCTTTTCGCTGAAACGGGGGAGTAATGTAAACCGTTTTCCGTTGTGCATTGGCGACACATACATACATACAAGTACATATGTATATGTTGGCTCAAAACAAACTACAAAAGACCATTCCAAGACTGTAGTAAGATCAAAAATTGTAGTTAAGTAGCGTGGGGCATGCATGTGCATACAAACGTACAAAAAAGAAGAAATGAAAAAAAAATTACCTCATAAAATTAAGCCGAGCACAGCACTAATTTCAACGTATTTGCACATATGTATGTATGCATGTATGTACATATAAATAAGTGTGTTTATGGTCTGTAAAAATTTATCGTCAAAATGAGCCAGTCCGATGCTTTGGTATCAGGCAAGACTCATTTAATAAAGCATTTCGCCTGCATTTAACGCGCAATATACAATTCTGGCTTTCAATTCTTTTTATATGTATGATTTTTTTTTCATATACAATACATACACACATGCATATAAAGTATATTGTATTATGAAATCTGTTCTTAAGATGCCTAGCCCCACTGTTGCGCTTAAGATGGTCATGTCAATATAAAAATATAAAATAAGCGTCGCAAACTAAATACAAAAAAAAAAAACAACAACAAAACAAAAATGTTGTAAATTACTAACGGAAATGGCGTCTTAAGCGCATTTGAATCGTGCCTTATGCGTTTGTACGTTTGTATTTCATTATTGCATGAGTTTCTCATCTAGTGATTACGCTTAAAAGTACACGGAGATCCTCTCAGTTAAGCCATAAAAAGTAGAAATTAAAAATACATATAATGTATCTATATGTATATACATATGTACATTTATACATACATATGTATGTAAAAGTCTGCTGTAATTATTTATGGAACACTATCTGAAGAAGTATGTAGCTGAGAAAGGTTTTCAGGTCAAAATTTACAGATTCTTTAGAAAGTTACAGATTCTGTATTTGGTCAGTATATTAGTGTAACCAAGCATCCCGATGTTTATAGTCAACAAAATAAAACAACTTTTTTCGTCGGTAGATAAAAAACATTGAAAGCCACAGTGTAAGATTAAAACCCACTAAAATCGGATCTTCAATAATTGAATAAATGCTATATATAATTCCATAGTTGTGAGGTTTTAGAACAATTTACATATCAAAAATATGTTCATTTCAGTCGAAATTATTCAAGAGTTCTCCAAAATTATAAATAGTAACTGCCACTAACAAAAAAATTACTTCTAAC